CATTCCTCTGATTATGAACTAAGATATAGGGAAATAACTGAGTGGTGGTAAGATTTTCCTTAGGCATTCATTCTAAGAACATGATTATATATAGAGGATTACATAAAGGGAAATAACTGAGTAGTAACACTATAAACTGAGATCATCTCCAAGCCCTAATTCTATAAACTAATATATGATTATATAAAGGATTATATAAAAGGAAATAACTGAGTAGTAACACTATACACTGAGATATTCTTCAGGCCTTAATTGTGCCAGGATTCTGCTTAGCTCTCCTTCCTCAGTGCCTTTACGGGGGGTTACCCACAGAAAAACACTCCTCCAGGTCAAAGTAAAACCCAGAGAGAGTTAGAGTGACTCGAAACCCCATCAGGCAGGGGCCATGGCCACTCTGGGCCTCGCAGAGCAGGAGGAAGTCCAGCAGAGGCTTTGAGTCCAGTGTGATTTGTCCAAGGGGAAGTAAAGGAAGGCTCCTGGTGAAAGCCTGTTTGCTCTGCCCAACCATTCCACCTGAGCTGTTTGGCCTGGGTGGAGTCCAGGCCAGGCGCACCCACTGAGAAAACAGAAGAGGATCACTGGCTGCACTAGGAAATGCCGGGGTGTGGGTGTGGGTGTGGGGGAGGACCAGTATCCCCAGTGCGGCGATTTCAAGTCCCTTCCTTTTTCCAGGCAACCTCCTGTCACTCCACAGGCGGCTGAGGACGCCCCCCACGCCCCGCACCACGTTGGACTTGGGCTCACCGGCCAATGAGCAGGTCTGATGCTCCTCTCAACGTCTAAGGTGACACAAGGACAAGACTGAAAAATGTCTAAGATTTGAAAAGACAAGAGAAGGTCGTCTGCTCTCAGACAAGAACTAGCTTTACCTCCAGGGAACTTTCTTGAGGAAACCTATTGTCTTCAGACTGTTGCCTTCTAGAGTCCGAGTCTTCATTTTTCAAACTGCTTTACTGAGATATAATTTTTATACCAGAAAGCTACCTGTTTAAGTGCCAAAGTCCATGGTTTACAGTATATTTATGAAGTTGTGTGACCAGGCCATTTCATATTAATGGAATCATACTCTACAAGGTCCTTTTTTGTCTAGCTTTTTTCACCGTAGCATAATGTTTTCAAAGTGCACCATGTTATAGTAGGGGTCAGAAAATTCAGTTCTTTTTAATGCTGAATACTACGCCAACGTCTGGAGAGTCAGTAGAAAAAAATCATTTGAAATCTCTTAATGTACAGAAAGCTGAAAACCCTGGTTTATATTATATAGAAACTCTCACAAACTGCTGATGGGAGTGTAAAATGTTATTATAGCTGTGTGGGAAAATGGTTTGGTAAGTTCTTATAAAGTTAAACATACGCATGCCATATGACCCAGCTACTCTGCCTTAGATATTCATCCAAAAGAAATAAAAACATATGCCTATATTTTTATTTTTTATTTTATTTATTTATTTATTTTAAAGATGGGGGTTTCACCATGATGGCCAGGCTGGTCTTGAACTCCTGACCTCGGGTGATCCGCCCACCTCAGCCTCCCAAAGTGATAGGATTACAGGCATGAGCCACCGCGCCCAGCTACATATGCCTATAAAAAGACTTGCACAGGAATGGTCACAGAAGCCTTATTCATTAAAGCTCTAACCAGGAAACCACCCAGGTGACTATGAACAGGAAAACTCTCCGTTTTTGTTTTGTTTTTGAGAGTCTTGCTTTGTCCCCCAGGTTGGAGTGCAGTGGCACGATCTCGGCTCACTGCAACCTCCACCTCCCTCTGCCTCCCAGGTTCAAGTGATTCTTGTGCCTCAGCCTCTCAAGTAGCTGGGATTACAGGCATGGGCCATCATGCCTGGCTAATTTTTATGTTTTTAATAGAGACAGCATTTCACCATGTTGGCCAGGCTGTTCTCAAATTCCTGGCCTCAAATGATCCACCTGCCTTGGCCTCCCAAAGCGCTGGGATGTCAGGCACGAGCCACTGCATCCAGCCTCTCCCCGTTGCTTTATTTATTTAGAGACACAGTCTTGCTCTGTTGCCCAGGGTGGAGTTCGGTGGTGCAATCTTGGCTCACTGTAATCTCTGCCTCCTGGGTTCAAGCAATTCTCCTGCCTCAGCCTCCTAAGTGGCTGGGATTATAGGCACCTGCCACCACACCTGGCTAATTTTTCTATTTTTAGTAGACAGGGTTTCACCATATTGGCCAGGCTGCTCTTGAGCTCTTGACCTTGTGATCTGCCCGCCTGGGCCTCCCAAAATGTTGGGATTACAGGCGTGAGCCACTGTGTCTGGCCTCCCTATTGCTCACACCTGTAATCCCAGCACTTTGGGAGGCTGAGGCAGGCGGATCACCTGAGGTTGGGAGTTTGAGATGAGCTTGACCAACATGGAGAAACCCCATCTCTACTAAAAATACAAAAATTAGCTGGGTGTGGTGGCACATGCCTGTAATCCCAGCTACTCGGGAAGCGAGGCAGGAGAATCGCTTAAATCTGGGAGGTGGAGTTTGCAGTGAGTTGAGATTGCGCCATTGCACTCCAGCCTGGGCAACAAGATCTCAAAAAAAGAAAAAAAATCCGTGCAGGCCTCTGAGCTTGGGCATTTTTATTTACGCAGCCATGTGATCCCTGGCTGTCCTCCCTGGCTGGTCTGGAGGAACCACACATCTCCATGCCAGCTGAGCACTTAGACCCTCTTGGAAGCTGTATTTAGAGCTGTCCCACCACTCTGCTGTGCCATAAAACTTGGCTCTGGGCTCTCCTGATCTCTAGAGAGGCTTGTTGAGACAGGACGCCTTATAGCGGGATGTTTGCTTCTGAACCACGTAAATAATGTGGCAGATACTAAGATTCACAAGGCTGCACTTAAGCTCTTAAACAGAAACTTTCATCCACTGAATCAATAACAAGGAAAATAATCAGAGGCTGTCAAAATGATAAAGGGGCAGTGAGGCCTAGAGGGAGTTATTATTTCTCTCGACTGTGTAACTATTTTTGTAAGCATTACAAGCACACTGTTATGGAGATGGTTGATTCTTCAGTGGAGAGACTTGCCTTTAATAATAAGCACATGGCCTGATGTGATCAGGAAACATTTCTCCGGAGACACTTGCCATGTCAGGAGGCAAGGTGGCCCACTGTTTCGGGTGTAGGAAGCCTGCAGAGCCGGGTATGAGTAGTCCGGGTAGGTCTCCAAGCTCCGGCAGGCCTGCTTGTCTTGGCGGCGGGACGGAGGTGCACCGTACCTGCCTTGAGGCTGAGGATTCAATCACTGACTGCACAACACGCAGTCTAACCTGCATCGTGCTTGACACACAGCAAGCACTCCACAAACACAACTACTGTTACTCATTTACAATTAAGGAAGATAGAATGTAAGTATGCTTACCTGACCATGATTTTCAAAACCATTTTCAAGGCGAATCCAAGAATCTGATGAGCGTGAAGGCACTGGAAGAACCTGACTCTAACCTCTCATTCATGCAGGCTCCTTTCTCAAGCACTCCGATGTCCGCAGGCGAAGGGGCGCATCCCAAGGACAAGCCAGCCTTAGCCTTCCACATCGTTCATTGCTTGAGTAAGAAATCCTACTGCAGTGTCCCTGTAACTTCTGCCGCCTCTGGAGCCACATGGCAAAGGCCGGCGTCTGACAATCCTTTAGGTAATAGTGAAGACATGTCACATTCCTGTCCAGCCAAAAGCTCCTCGTTGCAGGATGAACAGCTCCAGTTGCTTCCAACATGCCCCACATCTCATGGCTACCACACAGGTCATATTAAAAACCTCTGCCAGAGACTGCATGCCCAAGTGTGGCTCCTCAAAGACCTTGCCTGGGGAATCCGCTAGTGATGGCGGTGACCTGCACGCTCCGGAGAGCTCTCTCCTGGAACGGCCTCATTCTCATCATCTTTGATTTTATCCAAAAATGGTATTATCCCAGTCTGAATATCACATGTGCCTTGTTTGTTTGAGATGAAGTCTTGCTCTTGCCTAGGCTGGAGTGCAGTGGGGCTTGATCTTGGCTCACTGCAACCTCTGCCTCCTGGGTTCAAGTGATTCTTGTGCTTCAGCTTCCTAAGTAGCTGGGATTATAGGAGCGCACCACCACGTCCCACTAATTTTTTTTTTTTTTTGTATTTTTAGTAGTGATGGGGTTTCACCATGTTGGCCAGGCTAGTCTCGAACTCATGACGGCAGGTGATCTGCCTGCCTGCCCAGTAGCCGGGACTGTAGGCACCCACTACCATGCCCGGCTAATTTTTGTATCTTTAGTAGAGATGGAGTTTCACCATCTTGGTTTTGAACTCCTGACTGGTGATCCACCCATCTCAGTACTCCAAAGTGCTGGGATTACAGGTGGAGGCCCCTGTGCCTGGCCACATTTTCCTTCTGACAACCCTGAAATGGTTCTGAAAATCAAATTCACCCTGCAACAATGATTTGTTGTGCCTGAACATACTAAAAAATGTTAAGGTAGGGCATGGTGGCTCACACCTGTAATCCCAGCACTTTGGGGTACCGAGATGGTTGGATCACCGGTCAGCAGTTCAAAGCCAAGATGGTGAAACTCCATCTCTACTAAAGATACAAAAATTAGCTGGGCGTGGTAGTGGCTGCCTATCGTCCCAGCTACTCAGGAGGATGAGGCAGGAGAACTGCTTGAACCTGGGAGGTGGAGAGGCAGTGACCCGAGATTGTGCCACTGTACTTTAGCCTGGCTGCCAGAGCAAGAGTCTCTCAAAATAAATATGTGAATAAAAAACAAACCAAAAAGTGTTAAGAAACTAAAACTATAAAAATATCTTTTGGTTAACTTTTAAAAATCTCTCTGTGGAGAAGCCTTCCTAATTATGACATGAAACCTGGAAGTCACAGATAAATTTGTGTAAATATGCAAATTTGATCATATAAATAGGATGAATTTAAATAAAAATAGTAATATTGTGCACTGAATAAAACACCACAAAGTAAAAAAGTAATAATAAAAAGGGGGAAAATTTTGAACATACTATCACAATGGGCTAATTTCCTTAATAAATAAAGATCTACAATTAACAAAAAAATGACAACAATCTTATAGAAAATTGGCAAGGCATATAAGCAGATTATTTCACAGAAATATAACTTAGATATACCACATGAATTCGATCCAAGCACTTTCAAACTACCAGTTCTCATTTTTTTAACCTAACAGAATGGTAAAGTTTAAACTTTTAGGACATGGGGGAGGCCAGCACCCATGCCTGTCCAGTAGGATTGAGGAAACGTGGCAATGTCTGCTTATGCCCTGAAACTTACTGCCCTGGGGCCCTGCCATCCAGACACAGGGACTGCAGGACTGAGGCAGCTCAGTGGGCAGCCATGGGCGCTAAGTAGCATGGGGCACGCGGACAGGGGCAGCGTGTGGGGCGTGTGACACGTTTAAGCTCATCAGTGCACACATCCTCTGAGGGAACAGAATTTTCAAGCAATCCTAGTTTGCTTCTTTTGCCATGTGCTACGATGTGCCCGTGTAGCTATTTCTGACAAATGAATCTACTTCATTATCACAAAAGACACTCAGAGAGAAATGACTTGCATAATTTGCCGGGCCCAGAAATGTTCCATGACTTATTTGGTGCACTTTTGGGAAACTTCCAGTTGTCTGCCTTATTCAGGCATGAGGTTACCGGCCTTCTTTAAATGGACTAAATTGATTTTGGCTTTACCTTTATGCGTCTTTGATTCTCAGCCTCTGGAGTTCTTTAAATATTTAAACTGGTGTATATTACGGAAGTAAAGGCACTGGCAGGGACTCAGCCCAGGCGGGGGCAGCAAGCGTGGGCAGAACAGGCCTTCTCATGCCCACCAGAAGAAAGCTTCCTAGCCCTAGTCCTAATGTGACTTTTGACTCTATTGAGGGACCATCTCTCCTGCTCTCTTTCTTGACCTGTGTCATAAGCTGACCTCCAGACCTCTTCCCCAAGGTTTGCATTTTGGGGAGACTGCTAGGCAGAAATAGCTGGCTCCAGGTCTGTGAGGGGTTCATTCCTGCCCCAGGGTCTCCCTCCAGCCTCTGGGGTTGGGTGTGGCCATCCTCCCTTCCTCCCTTCCCCGAGTGCCCTGCAGGCTTACAGCTGCTTTGACCTCAGGAAGGTTTCTGTCTGGACCCCTCTCCTGCACCTGCGCACTATGAGGCCCCGGCGTTCGGAGGGAGGAAACTGTTCCTCTTTGTGTCTTTGTCCTTTCCTGCTTTGCACCGGCCTCTGCTACGTGGCTCCGTCAGCATTCGCCGCAGCCCTGGGAGGCCCTGGAACCATATCTTGTCCTCCTATTGGAGTTGGTCAGGGGCTTCAGGCACAAGCACTCGGGGGATGGGCTAGTCTGCAGTTTCCCCAGCATGTGATGCCTCTGGGACACTTCCAGACCAAAACCAGATCTTTGCTGAACACAATGACTTGGGGACTTACAGCTCACCCAAGGTGATGTGCCCAGGCCTCACCTGGCTGTGCTGTGGGTCGCTGGCCTGGCAGGGGAGGAGCTCTGTGCTCAACAGATGCTGGGAGGGCCAGGGCCACCAGTCAGAACCGTCCCCAGCCCCAGCCTCCAGGGGCCCTCCACTGCTGTGTCCTCAGGAGGGATGTTGACCAGACTGGAAATATGCCAACCGTCTGCCAGCTCCTTTGGCAATTTTTCTAAGCTTTAGTAAACAGGGATCTCAGGTGCCAGGTGGACAAGTGCTGCTGTCGCTCACCGAGAGGAATTCCAGAGGAGGGGCAGCCCCGTCAACCTTTTATTAGGAACAGAACACATGAGGTTCAGCTTGTGCTAAGCACTGTACATTCACTGAAGCAGCGTGGCAAGGCTGGGCCCGGCACCCACGCCGCACTGAGAGCGTGGTTCTGGGACTGCAGCTCAGCTGACCCATGGCACAGCTGCATCTAAGACACGGCCCTGGCTGGGCGGCAACGGCTCACAGTAGCGATACATTCACAGGACACAGTCAGTGTCCAAAAAAAGGGGCTCAGAACACAGTTCTACACAAGCACTTGGCACCCACATGACAGGAATGTCACTCAAGCAGCACGGCCACAAATCGTTGACAGCAGCCAGCTCAGGCCCTGCATCCTCCCATGCTGGGAGACTCCCTGAAGAGCAGGCACCTGCCATCCATGAGGAGGTGTCTCTCTACGATGGTTAACCCAAAACCGCACAAGGTATGAGGAGAGCAGGCTTCTGGGTGAACTCACACACTCACACCCAAGGAAGAGGCACACATGCTCAAGTCCAGAATTGACAGTGGTGCTGCCCAGACCCACCATCCTGCTGTCATTCAGCTTCCCCAGAGCAGCCAGGACAGCTTGCACCATCTCCCAGACTGTCTTGGGAAGGGGAGCTCTGCCCTGGGGAGGAATCTGACAGGCTGGGAGACAAAACAAGAGTCCCATTGCAGGTGAACACAGCAGCAGCCACAGCCCCGCAGACGAGGCACAGGGATGGGACAGGTGGGGAGCCACGCTGCCACCTGTGTGTGCCCGTGGTTCTGTCCTGCTCCTGCCCACCTGGAGCCCAGGCAGACAGGTGGTATTGGGCAGGGCCCAGGTCCAGACACAGCCCCCAGCCCTTTGGCCAGATGTGACTGGGAGAGGCTGATGCCAGGGCAGCACCAGGCCTTCTGGAAGTCCCAGGGCCAGCGTGCAGAAAGTGCCACTGAAGCCCATGCTGATAAAGTCATATACAGGACAGGAGGGTTTATGCAGACCGCCATTGATGGCGACGGGTGGCTTGACCACTACGAGGCTGGACTCTTCTGTCTGTTCAGGGAGTCGATGTAATGAAAAATGGCCCCCAGAGCCCAGCTGGTCTCAACATTGTCGATTTTCCGAGTGAGCTTGAAAAGACAGGGGGAGAGGGACCATCACACAGACAGGAAAGGCTCGTGCATCAGGAGGCTGCCGCTCCTTGGAAGCCAGGCATGGGCTGGGGGCATGACTCCAGCAGGTGGAGAAGCAGTTCCAGGCCCCTCCCCTCCCTCCACAAAGGGGCTGGGGTATGCCCTGAGGGCACCCTTACCTTCAGCACTTTGCTCCTGGGAAAGCCGAACTCCTGGAGCAGCAGGGTGACGTAGGTGAGGTCCATGCATGCGAAGGGGCTGCTCGGCGGCTGTGTCTCCAGGGTCCGACACACTGGGGATGAGACGCACCCCATTAGCCTCCAGCTGACTCCCTCCCCAGGTCAGACCCCAATTCCGCCCACTCCAGATTCACAGACAAGGCTGCAGCTGAGTGCAGAAGGTGCCCAATGCACACACAGGCAGGTGGGCTCCACGGCAACCTGCCCACCTGGTGCTGGGCCACATTTCTAAGACCCTGGACATCTCTCCCAGATGCCAACCTGAATAAAACCTAAGCTTTCTGGGGGAAGAAAACACCAAAGCCAGCTCAGAACAATCCACTCCTGCTCTTGAGGAAGGGCAAATCCACCAAGAGCCATCCTGGGATTCTGCTTGAAACCTTTTTCTGCTAGAGTTGCGGATACCCAGTGTCCATGGTCACAAACGGGACAATGACACAAAAGCTTTAAAAAAGCCACTTCTGGGGGAGGGGAAGGGTAGTACTTTTTCTGGAAAGATGTACAAAGTTGAGCTCTTTGGACCTGCACACGGGGAAGGATAAGCAGGAGCAGGAGACGTTCACCAAGGCTCGGCCGCCAGGCTGGGCATGAAGGAGACAGCGGAGGGGCGAGGTGTGGCACAGGGTCTTCCGGGCTAATCATCTGCAACCCCAGGGAGAGCCCTCCACCCCCACATCCCTGGCTCCACTCTGTAGGGCCTCGGCTTCTTTAGGGTCACGTGACAATCATGAACTTACTGGGACATCCCAGAGGAAATCACTTTTAGGATTACCCTAGTAGCAGCAAAATGGCATCAGAGCAAGTGGAATAAAGGAACCTGGTTCCTCATGACACCATGAGGGTGGGACAAGGATGGTGGCCTTTCCTCAGCTGGGGCTGCCGAGGCCCTTGCCTGTGGCCACCATCAGGAGTGGCTACACCCAGGAGAGCCGGGGTCAGTGCCTGCAACATAAATGTCATGGGGTGACTGTCCCTGCTGAGACGCCCCCTGCAGCGTCACTCACCGTACTTGGCTGCGATCTCAAAGTCCCCCACCATCAGGCTGCCTCCCTTCTCTGCATCTGTGGGAGACACAACACCCAGTCTGCAAGAGCACCGTGAGGCTGGCAGTGCCGCCGAGCTGTGAAGCCGTAACGGGGAACGCTGGCCCCAGAGCCCCAAGGTGCTGACTGGCTTCTGAGGCAGGCGCTCTAGCTGCAGGCGGCCACCCATGTGCGCTGAAGGTGGCTTCTGGTTGACGCGGCATGTGGTGGGCATGGCAGCTGAGAGGGTCACCCCACATCCCAACCCTGCAGAGTCCCTCGAAAAAGCTTACCAGGAATCCAGGACCCCAAATTGAGTAAAATCTCAAATTTAAGTTAAGAAAAATAAAATGGGAATATTTCCTGAAGCCATAGCACTGAGCTCAGCAACAGTATTCTGGTAATAGTTTCCCAAAAGTGAAAAAAAAAAAAAAAAAAAAAAGGACTTAAAAAATAAAGTGAGGGGTGGCCTTCCACTTTGATCACCCACCTTCCACCCAGGCCTGGTAGCTCTGCCAGGACAGAGACCCGCCGGAGGCTATGGGACCCAGAGAGCCAGCACCATGACATCGGCTTATTTAAAATGTTTTTATCTTTATCATAGGCCATGCATTCTGATGTTCTCACCACAACAGTGACTCTGCAACCCCTCCAGAGTCCCCACACAGCCTGATGACCACCAGCCTTGGCCAACTCCAAATACCCTTTTCTGGCCTGATCTGGCTTCCTGGGCTGGGCAGGGGGAGTAAGAGAGATTCACATTCAGTGAGGTGATCCCTCCCACGGGGACAGGGCAGCCACCCGCAGGTCCCAGGAGGCCTCCTGTAGCCAGGGCTGCAGGGTGGGGCAGAGTGGCTGAGTCTGATACACTGTGGGTCAGTGCAGGGCTGGACCTGCCCTCCAGCAGGAACTGGAATCAACAGCAAGTCACCAGCCACGAGGTTTCACTGAAGGTCTCAAAAAACTGACCCATCTATAAAAAGGAGACTTACTCCTTGTTATTCAGGATGAGATGGCCTCCTGCGGGGATGTGACAACAGGGTTGCTCGCCTGCCACCAGCCCTCTGCCTCAAGCAGCACAGACTCTCCGCCCCTGCCCTCCACTGCCCTGACCTTCCTGGTCAGCCCATCTAGGCCCCCTTACCTATGAGCCCCACACTGGCTGCAAGGTCATAATAGTAGGAGAAAGCATAGAAGTCTACACGCTTCACTTCCTCCGTCCTGTGCACTCTGTTTTGCAGGACCTCTGACACTCTGGTGGCACACAGCTCATGCAGGGTTGCCGCTGGGGACAAGCACAGGGCCAGCAGTCAGTGGGATCTGATCACTGAGACCTCACAGCTGCTCAGGGCCCCTCCTAGGGGACTTGAGACCCTGACCTGAATTGTCAGGAAAAGGCAGGTCTAGAAGCCCCTAAGACCCCACCCCAAGTTGGGGCTGCTCCCCCGACAGGTGAAGAGCAGCCCTCAGGAGCCAAGGCACTGTTGGTCCCTGCCAAGGCAGCTGCAGACCCGGACTCTGAGAAGGAGGCTGCTGACCCCTGACACCAGCCGGCCTCTGGCCTGTCGGGACCATCTGCCCTGTGTTTCCCCTCTGCCAGCCCTGTGTCCTACCTCCTCGGGGGGGGCCTGCACCCTCCCTATGTCACGGATAAGGAAGTGGAGGCCCACCTCACTTGCAAGCTCCCATGGCTGTGGGTAGAGCTGAAACAGAGGACCCCAGAGGCCAATGGACTGCGTGGTCATCTGAGGGCACCTGTATGCCCCACACCTCGACCCGGCTTCCCCAATTCTGCTCTACCAGGCCCCGTCCTTCCGAGTGATCCGGAGTTCCTGTGGTCCACAGACCCGCACCCCAGCCCTTCGACCTCATTTCCTCCTGCTGTCCCTCGCCAAGCCACACCACCTCCAAGCCACACCACCTCCTCCTCATTCATTAAACACAGCAGCTGCCAGAGCGCCCAAGGGTATGCTACTGCGCAGCCTGGGGTGCTGCTGCTTCAGATCTGCGCAGCTCCTCTTAACCTCCTCCTGGCTCAGATCCCATGTCACCCCACGAGGCTGTCCTTGGCTGTCCTAGTCACAGCTGCAATCACCCTCTTGGACCCCCGCCCCTGTGTTACTCCTCCTGGAAGGCCTTTCCAATGAACTTCACTGTCTGGCTCCTCCTGTGGGACGTGGTTGACTGGTCCTGCTGTGCCTGGTGTGGCCCCCAGCACATGCACCAGTGGGTGACCAAGTTGCAGGGACCTGCACGTTGGCTGAAGGCATGCACCCCTCGTGCCCAGAGCCCAGTCTGAGAGTGGCGTTTGAACATTTCTCTCAGAAGAAACTGCAAGGGCACAGAGCACCAGAGCCTGTCCAGGGCCAGTGGGCAAGAGTGGGCTCCATGGCTTCGAACAGGACGGGTGGGAGCAGATCCTCCCTCTACATAGAGTGCCTGGGCCCCCAGCCCCACCACTGCATCTCAGCCCTGAGCTGGCCCAGTCCTTCTTCCCTACAGTCCTGTTAGGAAATCGGCCCTCGGGAGGAAGCTTCTGGTGACAGACAGGGGAGCACTGAGCAGAGGCTGAGGGAGGGAGCCGGCTCTCTGCAGCCGAACCACCTCCACTTCATGGCAGGTGCAGGCTCTTCTGGGAGAGGTCGGGAGCCTCCCATGAAGCGTCCCATGGGATGTGGGAAAGGCATCGGGGAGGGGAGGCCGCCACTCTTCACCCTCGGAAGCCAAAAAGCAGCAAACCCTCCCATACCTGCTTTCTGACCCGAAATCCTGTACGTGACTTCTGCATGTTCCCACTCTCCTTTGAAACTGGGAGACAAGCAAGGGCTGACCAACTCCTTTCCATCCTTAGCTGAAACAAGAGATTTAAAAAGGAAAGAGAAAGGAAGGTATATCACTGCTGTGGACCAGGGCCGAGCCAGGAGTTGTGGAGGCCCTGGGCCAAGGGCTGTTCAGTCAGTGTGACGACAGTCCTCTTAGGAGGGGAGCCATCATCACCCAGTTTTATAGGTGACTGAGGCTGTGAGTAGCTGGCAGGTTGGTGGCAGGGCCAGGACAAGTGCTACCAGGTGCCACCATGCCTTGAATGGAATCTGCTGCTCTAATACACACAAAATCAGCAAAGGAAGCATACTGGTCTCAGGGCTGGCCCCAGCATCACCCTCTGGGACAGCAGGTTGCTGTCCCCACCAAGAGGTGCTGGTCCCATTCCTGGACTCTGGCCTGGACCTGCTTTCCTTGATGAAATGGGCAGGAAATGGTAGCCTCAGGACAGCCTTCTTTTGAAGCTGCCCAACAGCAGCCCAGGCTGCTCTGCTGGGATGAGGCCATGTGGAAGAGTGTCCAGGTCTAGACAGCTGTGCAGCCACAGGCACATGCGCAGAACCCCAGGACCCCAGCAGGGGGTCTAGGCAGCCACCCAGCCATAGGCACGTGCACAGACCCTCAGGTCTGCAACGGAGGTGCTGCCCAGATGAGCCTTTGTAGTTAGCCGTGAGGTTCCAGCTGTGAGTGCTGTTTGCTGTTCTTTCACTCTGCTTGGGGCAGTCTGTTATGAAATAACAAAACAGAGAGACTCATTCTGGCTCCTCACAGCCTCCAAATGTCCAAAACAGGCATTTTGTACAGCCTGACAAGGAGACCACGAGACCCTCCTGCTGCTCTGCTGTGTGGAAGAGGCCTCCGGGGCTGAGCTGCGACTCCCTGGAAACCACGAGGGGCAAAGAGGTACCTGCCTTTTCTCACTGGCTAAATATTAGGTATTTTTTTGGTCCTAGAATGCAGGCTGCAGGTGTTTCTAAGACATGGACATGGTTTTTGTTTGCAACAACAAAGAAATACCATTATGAAGATAAACACCAGGATTTGAAAGAAAAAGCTGAGGCCGGGCACGGTGGCTCACGTCTGTAATTCCAGCACTTTGGGAGGCCGAGGTGGGTGGATCACAAGGTCAAGAGATCGAAACCATCCTGGTCAACATGGTGAAACCCCGTCTCTACTAAAAATACAAACAATTAGCTGGGCATGGTGGCGTGTGCCTGTAATCCCAGCTACTCAGGAGGCTGAGGCAGGAGAATTGCCTGAACCCACGAGGCGGAGGTTGCGGTGAGCTGAGATCGTGCCATTGCACTCCAGCCTGGGAGAATGAAAGTTTCAGTTGAACATCCTGCCCTGTCAGATACCGGGCCTTGGAAGAGGTGGGCAGGGGTGCTGGGCCAGCGGGGTGGTGGGCACTCAGAGAAGGACATTTGGCTGGAGCACATGTGGGCGCTGATGAGCGCCTCATGCACACATCAGATACCAAGGCCTTGGGAAGGCCGCTCTGGCCCGGTCAGCTCCATCAGGGAAGATAGGCACCACCAGCCTCAGGGCTGAGTCTCTGCCCCTGAAGCAGGCCACAGCAATCCCTGAGCTTTCCTGAGTCCATGCCCACCGTGACACCCATGGTAAGGAGCAGAGGCCCTGGCCCTGGCCCTGACGCAGGCTGCATCCCCAGGCCAACTCCAAACTCCACTTCTCAGGAAAAGCCAAGCCCACATTTCATGATTCTTTGCAGAGCAAGCGAGGAGGGACATTCTTGCAAGCCTGGAATCATGAGTGAGAGAGAAAACTTTTCCCTGATGGCAAGAGTCCAGCACCCCCAGGGCCCTCCTGTGCTGTATAGAGAACAAGGTCCTCTCTTCACATCCCTAGAGCTGGCTCCCAACGTAGGGGATGAGTGTGCAGTTCCCCAGGTTCCTAGAATCCTCAGCTCAGTGCTTCAGAAGGAATTTCACCAGCGTCTTTTAAAAAATAGCTTGGGGCTGGGTGTGCTAGCTCACACCTGTAATCCCAGCACTTTGGAAGGCTGAGGTAGGCAATCACCTGAGGGCAGGAGTTAGAGACCACCCTGGCCAACATGGTGAAACCCCATCTCTACTAAAAATACAAAAATTAGCTGGGCCAGGTATACCACCACCCTGGATTCCTGCCCCACCAGGGTGCCACCAACAAGGTCAGCAGCACACCCCCACCCTCGCATGTCCTGGCCTGACCAGGTGCCTAGCATGCAGTGGGGCAGCAGTGGGGCGGGAGGGTGGAGGGACCTCTACTCCAGGGCCAAGATGCTGCCCTCCCGAGGGGCTCCTCGTTCCCACTGAGAATGGAGGGCAGAGGCCACGAGAGGGGGCCCCAGGCAACATGTCCACTTACCAGGCTGCCCCTCCACGCCGCCCAGGATCGCCAGGCGTGCCGACATCAGCCCAAGCCCGAGGTAGCTGTGGGGATGACACCTCAGTGAGGGCGGGCGCCACAGCAGGCACAGGGCACAACACACTCACCCCTGGGACCCAGTGCTAGTGGGGAGGAGGGAGCTTGCAGCAAGGCAGTCAGTGAGCTTCTCTGCTCCTTCCAAAAGCCTCCTTCTGAAGATTTTAGGGAATTTAGCTGATTAATTCAACACATGGCAGGAGCTCATCCAGGAGCTGCAGACACGACCCCTAGTCTGGGACGCTCCTGCTTTATAAAAGAATTGACTGAGGGTGCCATGTGGCAATAGGGTGCACTCCTGCGCAGCCCATGGCTTCTCCTACTTCTCAAATTTCCTCCAAAGCAGAACAGCATAAGCATGAAAGGAGAAATGTGATTAGACTGTAGACAATTAAAGGATGAAGGAGGAGGACAGAGGAGGAGGGAGGAGGACAGGGAGAGAGAGGTCTGGGTGGATTCCCAGCATGGGGATTCCAATCTGCCATCCGTGACCTCAAGAAGGCTGTGCAAGGCTCCAGGAGCTGCATGCCCACCTGACAGCACTTCCCCACCCGCGTTCCCAAAAGCAGACCTGTAGGAATAGAGCTTGTAGGTCCTGTTAAACATCCGCAGTGCCGTCAGGTAGCCGGGTGGGGAGGCCTGCAGGGTGCCCTGGGGAAGAATGAGGGTAACTATGCTTCCTGCTGGCTCTAGAACATTCTCCCTGACTCACTGAATTCCTTTGAAAGAATAGGGATGCTCAGGTGCAGCCAATGAGATGAGCTGTTCACTAGGTGGCTGGCTGCAAAACAGGAGCAGGTAATGAGGAGCCAACATCTGGGCCTCTGGAGAACGGTGCTTCCTTCCTACAGGCAACCTCTCCCATGCTGACAAACATAGCCCAGCCAGGACGGCGATCACAGCGGAGCCTACAAGGCCACTCTTCCACGGAAACTACCCACAACAGAAGGATGAGTGGGTGAGGAGGGAACTGTTTTTAAAGCAGCAGATGCCTCAATGGGAAGTGTTTTCATCTTCTTTAGGATATTTATCTTGAAAAGGCTGGAAGCTCCCTCCCAACCTACGAACTGGACGAAATCATTCTGCTCTTGTTCCATTCGGAACCCTGAAGGGAAGGGAGGCAGCCCTTCACATTCTCTGGCCCAAATATTTCCAGTTATTCTCTAACGTAATCAACCCTCAAAAGATCAACTTTCTATGGCTTTTTTCCTGGCGGAATTAAAACTCCCAGCCAGAAGCATCATCTGTGGATAAGTCCCACTCTCAGATGAGGAAATGACCTCAGAGGTCCAGAAGCCTGGCCAACTCCACCCCAACCCCACCCCACAGCACCTCGGCAGGCCCCACCCTACACCCCCATGGAGGGGTGGCCTCAGGGTGGGAAGAAGGCCGTGGTTGTCAGGGGCTCGTTACCTCCACCCGAGGCAGAAAGGCGATCTGAGTGGATCCTCCGCCCAAATCCAGCATGCCCACGCTGCTCCCTCCTGGAGTTTTCAAGCTCCCTGGAGCATAGTAAGCAAAAACAGCACAGGGGCATTAGTAAGACGGTGAGAACCGCAGAAAAGCCAGGGTGAAAGCCAGGCTCGTAGGAGAAAGAAAAACAAGACAGAGAAGTTGCTCAGGTATTGACGAATCTCCGCTTAAAGGTGTATATCTAAGGGATAAGAGCCATGGCTCCACCAGCTATGGTTTAATTTGGATCCTGCTGGGACAGCACGAACCTTCAGGGGAGATACTGAAACTGCCGTATCAGCTGGGAGGGAGGCCGCTGGCTCAGCTCGCTGATCGGCCTGGCTCCACCTCACAGAGCATCTCAGGCGGAGGTCCCCAACCCACCTGCTAACATTTCTATCCCCCAAAGCGGCAAATGGGCAAATCCTGACAGGAAACTTCTTTCCTTTTCGTACATACATCAGAAACACTGCTCTTTCCCATAATTCCAGCAAAGGGACAAGAATCCGCATGCGCTAAGAAAAATGACTCATTGCTTGTTTCTAAAAACTGATGTTTCTATTCCTGCTCCACCTACAGCAGAGGAATCCAATTAGAAGGTGATTAGCATCCACATCACATTTAATATTGGAAGACATGACTGGTTTGATTTATTACTTCTCTTAGAAATGAGAGGATGGAGCTCCTGTTGGATGTTCTGCAGGGGACAGGGCAGGGGCTGTGCTGGGAGAAAAATGCCCCAGGCCTGCAGAGAAGCACCCTCTCCTAGCATCTACACCTGCCAGCCAGGTGGGCAGCCCCACCCATCCCCAATTCCCTACAGTCAGCCAGCAACACTGCAAAACCCTAAGGGGTTATCTTAGAGAGCAGAAATGAGGCTCCTGTTGTCTAAAGGCCTGGCCCAGCCCTCTGCAGGAGTCAATGAACGGCTGGCCCCTGCGGCGCAGCGCACACGCCGCGGGAGTTGACGAACAGCTGGCCCCTGCGATGCAGTGCACACGCCGTGGGAGTCGATGAACGGCTAGCCCCTGCGATGAAGCGCGTGCGCCCCAGGCATCTGTGAACGGCTACCCTCTGTGATGCAGCACGAACACACCTGTCAGGAAGTTGATGGTGATCCACGCAGAAACGCCTGCAAGAGAGTGTCACAGGCAGCATTTTAATCACTTGAGATACCGTTAAGTGACTATTTTCAGATTTGGGGAGCACAAAGGGACCACTTCTGCACTATACCCAGCCTTCGGATCACTGGGCAGAAGGGAACATTTCTCATAAATGAAGCCAGCAGCGTCCAGGCGGACTGTCCTGGGAGATAGCACACTGAATCCTAAAGCACTCCACCAGATGCCACATCTCTCCTTGGTTATTACTGGCCTCCTTTTTGGAAGAAGCAGAAAAAGAACCCAATGCTCCCCTTCCCTGTCCCATATACACTCACTCTCAAGGTCATATTGAAGACCTATCGGGAGCTAGTGAGAAACCTTAAATGTCTCTTAGAATTAACAATGCAACAACATTCTAAATGTGGCGGCAAGTGGAGATTCTCTCCAAATGTTCTTAAAACTAAAACTGCTTTGTTTTCAGAAACTTCATTTATGCCAGGTTTGGAGTTGGTCAAGATAAGAATCTGTCTCTGACACAGACCCCAAAAAGACCCTTTTGTGACATGTCAACTGTGAATCAGAATGGAGCTGTAACATCCATGATTCCACACTCGAGCAGCTGACCAGGGAAGAGGCTCCCACACAGGGTGGGGTGGGGGGCAGTTAGAAGCAGCAGCACCTCTCCCACCCACCTCCCTGCACAGCCCACTGCAGAGGCGCTTCCCGCCCCTTTACCTTCGTCTGTGCCGTTCATGATGGAAACACAGTCATCCCCTACCAGGAAAGGCGATGCCTTAAACACTTCTTTCACCTAAATGTAAAGAGAGACGTTTCTTTATCCTTTACAACAAATGAACGTTTATTCAGCTAGCTAGCTAGTCAGTCAGATAAAGCAGTAGGGGTGGAGAAGAATAAAAAAAATCTGTAACTGGTTGTTATCAATTAGTTGTAAATCCCACTGCACTCAGACCAGTTTTCTTCCTCCTTTAGAATTTGTAGTCAGTGGTTTCACATCATGCTTTCAGCAGGCAGTAACGGAACCCCAGGGGCACCTGACAAGTTCCATGCGTGTGTTCAGGCCTCTCTAATCCTCTGCAAGTTAATCTACCGCCAGGGTGTGCTGAGGCCCATGCTGCCCTGGAGAACCTGTCCTAAGCCTGCTGGGGCTTAGAAGGGCTCTGGGGACTGCATAGACAGGGAAGCTGGGGCACATTGGGCCTGCTGGGCTCCAAAACACTGCCCAGCTTTGGGACGTGAGATTAAGGAGAGGGAAGCCCTCCACAGCAGATGGCAACCTTCACCAGGGCCGGCTGATCTCTGAGGGTATTTCCTTGCCCATCTTTCAGCAAGATCTACCCATAGACACTTCAGCACCTCTGCACACCCCACCTGCATGCATGACCCACAATGCAATGCTGTGAGGGACCCTGACAGGCGTGCCCTGTGCCCTCCTCCCACAGGTAAATGGATGGAGGCAGCACGGAGGGTGAGGAGGACCCACTGCTGAGTGCTGGGCACTGGCCCTGACGGAAGAGGAGCTGGAAGAGGCCACAGGGCCCCTTCAACAGTCATGTCTGAGCATCGGACCAGGAGCAAGATGAGCAGCTGCCATGGGAAACAAGCGGGCTTCAGCTGCAGCACTGAGGCTCAGCACACATGAGCTTTTGACTGGGATCAAGTTCCTGGAAGGCACCATGCACTTTTATTTATTTTATTTTTTGAGACAGGGTCTCGCTCTGCCACCCAGGCTAGAGGGCAGTGGCGTGATCACGGCTTAGTGCAGCTTTGACCTCCTGAGCTCAATCGATCCTCCCACCTCAGCTTCCCAAGTAGCTGGGATGACAGGCATGCACAACACCCAGCTAATTTTTCTGTTTTTGGTACAGATGGGGTCTTGCTATGTTGGCCAGGCTGGTTTTGAACTCCTGGACTCAAATGATTCATGCGCCTTGGCTTCCCAAAGTACTGGGAATACAGGCATGAGCCATGGCCCCCGGCCCACAGTACACTTCTAAAATAAAGTTGCTTTCTTTATTATAAAACACAGATTCACTCTAGAAAAAAACAAATAACCTTAAATGTCACAAGGAACAAAGTATCATCTGCTTGCCAACCCTTCACCTAAAGGCGATGCTGCAGACTCTTCTTCAGAATCATCTGTGTCCTGCCTGACTGCGCGGCACTGGTGAGAGAACAGGTGTTTGTAGTCATCAGTAGCCCCTGGGGGCTGGCTAATGGCACTGGAAGTGACCAGGCTCACCTTCTGCAGTAACTTCTGGGCCTTTTCTCCAGGTAACAGGCGTAAGCCAGCTGTGGCCTTGAGGACCAGAGGGGTGGCCTTCCAGAAGTCAAACGGAATGTCCCGTTTAGCAACATCCAGTAGTTCCTGGATTCCCTGAGCGCTCTGTGAACATGGTAAGAGCAAAGCAGGGTCTGTCAAATGCAGCATTCAGGATCTGTCAAATGCAGCATACAGGCTCTGTCAAATGCAGCATTCAGGATCTGTCAAATGCAGCATTCAGGATCTGTCAAATGTAGCATATGGGGTCTGTCAAATGCAGCCTATGGGGCTGGTCAAATACAGCATTCAGGGTCTGTCAAATGTAGTATATGAAGTCTGTGAAATGCAACATATGGGGTCTGTCAAATGCAGCACACGGGGTCTGTCAACTGCAGCCTACAGGGTCTGTCAACTGCAGTTTACAGGCTCTGTCAAATGCAGCCTACCGGGTCTGTCAAATGCAACATACAGGCTCTGTCAAATGCAGCCTACAGGGTCTGTCAAATGCAGCATACAGGGTCACACATGCTGCTTCCACCCTTTTGGTTCTTTTTGTTTGTCTGTTTCCAGAGACAGTGTCTCACTGTGTTTCCCAGGCTGGAGTGAAGTGGCTTGATCACACCTAATTTTCACCCTTGAATTCCTGGGCTCAAGTGATCCCCCTGCCTCGGCCTTCCAAGTAGTTGGGACAATAGGCGTTAGTCACCACACCCAACTAATTTTGAAAAACTTTTTTTTTTTTTTTGAGACAGTCTCTCGCTCCATTGCCAGGCGCCAGGCTGGAGTGCAGTGATGCGATCTCGGCTCACTGCAACCTCTGCCACCCGGATTCAAGCAATTCTCCTGCCTCAGCCTCCCAAGTAGCTGGGACTATAGGCGCGTGCCACCAAGCCCAGCTAATTTTTGTATTTTTAGAGACAAGGTTTAACCATGTTGGCCAGGATGGTCTTGATCTCTTGACCTCGTGATCCACCTGCCTTGGCCTCCCAAAGTGCTATGATTACAGGTGTCAGCCACCATTCATAGCCCTTGCTTTTATAAATGTTTCCTTCTTCTAATTTTCAAAATCTGCAGGGAACAGTGACACAAGTGGTACTGGCAGGTGTGGGGAAACACGGGGACGAGCTGAAACATGGTAGGGGGAGGAGAGGTGAGGAGAATAAGCCTGCTCTTCTACTGCAGCCTGGTGACCCAAGTCCACACCCAGACCTGTGTCAACACTCGCGGGCGATCTCAGATGAGCCTCAGCTCCACTGGACATCGCAAAGGTGTAGCACTAGACAGTCCTGGGGTCCCTCCCACCACTAAATCCCATGACACCTACATCGAGGAGCCACTTCACCTGCCAGAGTGCTGGAGAGCCCAAGGCTGGATGAGGCCCTATGTCGGTGTGTGCATGAGAGTGAAGGCCTAGGAAGGCAGCTGGGTGTTGTAGACAGGTGTGATTCTGTGGGGACACATGGGCTGCATCTGTCCAAGGGAAAAACACCTCCTACCCAGAAATCCCACTCCAGTAGTTCATCTTGAGAGGCCAAGGTGGGAGGATCACTTGAGCCCAGGTCAAGACCACCCTGGGCAACAGAGCAAGACCCCCATCTCTACAAAACATTTAAACATTAGCCGGCCATTGTGGTGTGCACCTGTGGTCCTAGTTACTTGGGAGACTGAGATGGCAGGATCATTTGAATCCAGGAGGCAGAGGTTGCAGTGGGCTGCGATCGTGCCACTGCACTCCACCCTGGGTGACAGAGAGACACCTCATCTCAGGAAAAAAAAAAAGAGAAGCCGGGCGCAGTGGCTCACGCTTATAATCCCAGCACTTTGGGAGGCTGAGGCGGGTGGATCACGAGGTCAAGAGATTGAGACCATCTTGGTCAACAAGGTGAAACCCCATCTCTACTGAAAATGCCAAAATTAGCTGGGCATGGTGGCGCGCGCCTGTAGTCCCCACTACTCGGGAGGCTGAGGCAGAAGAATTGCTTGAACCCAAGAGGCGGAGGTTGCGGTGAGCCGAGATCGTGCCATTGCACTCCAGCCTGGGTAACAAGAGCGAAACACCGTCTCAAAAAAAAGAGAGACAATTCATCTGAGAGATGCCCCTTGCATGTGTAAGTAATGAAGTATGTGTCAGGTGCAGCCCTTTTCTACTGTTAAGAGAGAAAGATTGGTCATTATCTAATGTCCTTCAGTAGGGGACTGGTTCCATGAGGTAAGTGTGTGGCATCCATGCAATAACATTCAGCAAAAAAAAACTGAGGATCTGCACGTGCTGACATAAATGCTCTCCAGTTACACTGCTCAGCAGCAAAGCCAAGGGCCTCGGTGTGGACACCACCGTGGGTGTGAAGTAAAAATGGGGAGAAGACTATGGATGCCTCTGTTTACATACACATCAATCAGCCTCGAAGGTCGCTAAGAGAGCCAGGATGTGGGCCTCTGAGGCAGTCTGGAGTGAGAGGGACGTTTGAGCTGTCGCCCTGGAGAGCATCGACATTTGTCCCACTTGAATGTGTGTCACCGACTCAACCAAGTAAGGCCTTAAAAATCCTAGGAGCTTATTCTAAATTTATCTAATTTAATATGCTTTAACCATAAGGTCACTCTAGAATTGCTAATTTTTCTTTTTTAACTAAGCTACAGGAAAGCACAGCTTGAACTACATTGTCTGAGATCATGCCACATTTGTGGACAACAGCAGTGTACTAGCTCATGACTGAAGCAATGCTTGAACCAAAAGGAAGTAACAAGTCTCTCCACAGCCAGTTTTGCCAGTGCCTAGTCAGAAGTAGCAATGCTACAAATGTACATAAATCATTATTTGACAATTTTAATTAAATTTCTATTTATTTGGTTTTGTGGATTTTGCATAATGCATTTTTGGGGGGAGGGGTTGGAGTCTCACTCTGTAACCCAGGCTGGAGTGCAATGGTGCAATCTTGGCTCACTGCAACCTCTACCTCCCGTGTTCAAGCGATTCTCCTGCCTCAGTCTCCCGAGTAGCTGGAATTTCAGGTTCATGCTAAGTTTTGCATTTTTAGTAGAGACGGGGTTTCACCATATTGGCCAGGTTGATCTTGAACTACTGATCTCAAGTGGTCCGCCCACCTCGGCCTCCCAAAGTGCTGGGATTATAAGGCGTGAGCCACTGCGTCTGGCATGTAATGTTTTTAACCATTTTTTTTGTTTTCTTTTTTTTTGATATAAGGTCTCACTTTGTCACCTGTGGCACAATCATGGCTCACTGTGGCCTTGACCTCCCAGGCTCAAGTGATCCTCCCACCTCAGTCTCCCAAGTAGCTGGGATGACAGGTGTGTACCACCATCCCTAGCTAATTTTTACATTTTGTAGAAATGGGGTTCTCATTCTGTTGCCCAGGCTGGCCTTGAACTTCTGGGCTCAAGAGAGCCTCTTGCCTCAGCCTCCCAAAGTGCTGGGATTGCAAGTGTGAGCCACCATGCCCGGATAACATTAATTTTTTTGTTTGAGTCAATGTTTGCTATCTTCAATCAGAAATGGCAACAAAAAATTAAAAATATATTATGCAAAATTCACAAGACTAAATTAATACAAAAATTTGAATAAGTAAATTGTCAAATAATGATTTTTGTAAGTTTGTAGGATTTGTGCTTCTGACCTGTACCTAGACTTTGGGACCCTCAGGGGAGAACTAAGCACTGGCATGGTGGAGACAGAGGAGGGGGGCCGGGTGGGGGTGTGTTCTCCTTTGGGCTCTTGTGCTGCACACCTTCTCTCATCTGACCATCCCAGATGATGTGAAGTGCCCAGGGAGCACCGTCAAGCCCCCTTTCCTTGTGAACACAGCCTACCACATTCAAAGAGAAAGAACCGGCTTGAACACATTCCACAGGTGAACAGGGAGACACTGGAGATGAGCCTTACCTTTTCAACATCATCAGCATAGGCAGAAAGACCTGGCTTCAGTGCTTTGAAGGTTTCGTGGGTTAAGGTGGGAGTTTCTAAGGGGAAAACATGTTGAAAAAAGGTACGACTATGAATACACACATGGATATAAGAACACATACAATCACAACTAGCCACACTTTTTAAAGACAGATGCAGAAAATATAGACCAATCCCCAAGTGGCAGGGGCCCTTCAGCTATTCCTTGTCTAAATTCTGACTCTTTGTTCATCTGAACAAGATGAATATAATACCTAATGTGTTGGCCAGAATTTTACTTTTTAATTAATTATTTTTTAAAAATTATATTTATTAGGTTAATTTTTTTTTTTTTTTTTTTTTTTTTAAAGAGATGGGCTCTTGCTATGTTGCCTGGGCTGGTCTTGAACTACTGGGCTCAAGCAATCCTCCCATCTCAGTCTCCTGAGTAACTGGGACTACAGGTGCAAGTCATTGTGCCCTGCATTCTACTTTTAAAAATCCAACTTTACTGAAGGTAATTACATAGGAAACGACTGCATCGGTGTTAAATTTTAACATAGCTAATTCTTGCCAATTCAATAAACAGAGGAATAAGATAAATGACTCCAAACTGCAAATAGGAGTATCATTTCCTTGACTCAAAAACGGATGTATTAGAGGGTTCTCAAGATTCGGGTTTTTTCTTCATTTTAAAACATGTAGTGTTTCAAATCATTAGGAGTGGTCTGAATGTGTGGGTTCAACAAAGAGGCATAGCAAATTCAGACGCAAAGACTGGACCAGAAAAGAACAGGGACAAAACTTTTTGCAAAGACTTTTCTCTTTTAAAGAGAAAACCCTGGGACATGGCTCCAAAGCATTGCAGGCTGATGTCTGTTGCACATTTAGCTTTGAAGTCACTTTTAGAGATCAGTAGGTGTGGCATCTAAATATTTCACTACTGTAATAAGTTAAAAAATAAAGTAGATGGAGTCAAAGGTAAATAAAACATACCACCCAGCTTTGGAGAGAGCAGCTAGAAATGTCTAGTGCCAGCAGAACCGTGCGACGACAGGATGGTGTCTACCCAACAGGTTCCAGGTCAGCCAAGAACAGCCTGGGACACCCAGGGGACCTGCCTGGCCAGGGCTGCAAACTCTCACTGGCTATGGCTAGAGATACATGGAGGGTGAACCTCAGGGTCACAGGCACGAGAGGGGCATCAGGGAACTAAGGAAGAGGGCAGGGGAACTGGGTGGTGGTGGGGCCTTTGGGAGAAGCTGCCTGCCCTGGCCTGAGGCCCACCCTAGAAGCACAGCCAAGAGGGCCCAGGCTCCATCTCACTTCTCCAGTTGAGGCCCCTCTCGGTTGTTGCCCCTGGCCATCTTGGCCCACCTGGTAGCTCCCGGTCAAGCCCAGGGGCCTTTGCTATTTATCTGACTTTCCTGATTTCCTGGCTCCCATGGGCCTGAACTCCCCACAAAGCCCCAAACACAACCACTGAACTAAATCATGGTCCCAGCCACCTGACCTGCTGGTGAGTGTGGGGAGTGGACAGGCTACCAAACACCCTCAAGGTCTCAGCTGCCCGTCAGCATGGTCACTACTCACAAGTTTAAGAGTGATCTGGGACTCCTGGGAAATTCAGATGCTTGGACCCCAGCCCACACCGGCATCAGCATCTCTGGGAAATTGCATTTGGACAAGCTCCCAGCTGAGTCCGTGTCTGGAGGCCCAGCCCACACCGTAGTGTAGGGCAGGAGATCCCGAGAGCCCTGCCATGAGAGGTCGAGAAGGCAGACCCCACACCTGCTTCCTGTGATTACCTCTGGGGGGCTGGGTGAACTGGAAGATGTGTACTCGGGTGCCAGTGCTTCCTGCATCAAACATGATCCCGTAGAAGACCTCATGCCCATGTGCAGCTGTCCCTGGAGGGCCATGGGCTTGCTGACTCCACCGGGTCCCCGGGGCCACCCCAGTAATGCTGAAGGCCTGGGTGGCGGGGACCCGGTGCCACTTGATATAGGCGACGTAGATGAACAGGCCCACGCAGAGCCCCAGCGGGTACACGACCTTCGCCACCCGCAGGCTCCCGTGGTTGGATATTTTTCTCATCCTGGTCTGCCAAGGACCGTGCCACAGCTGCTGGTGGGAAGTGGGGAGAGGGAGGAAAAACATGTTAGGGTAACAGGTTCCAAGGTGAGTCAGACGTTCCCAGGTCCAGGGACAAAATGTTCAACGTGAAACCGCTCTGTGTTACCCCCTAGGAATCAGAAGCTTGATGTGATCCTCATAATGATTCCAGAAGGTATGGTTCCTATCTCACATAATGGCAGGAAAGCCAGCTCAAGGTCTCACAGAAGAGAAACTGAGGTTTATAACGGCAGGACGGCCCGCTCAAGGTCACACACCTTACAGGTGCTGACCTGGTGCACAGACCACAGCTGCCAGCTCCTCTAAGAGAGGGTCCCATCAGTGGCTTGGGACACATGGTGATTTATGTTAAAAAAGCCACATGGAAACGTTGTTCCCAAACTGTTCATGGGAACAGAAGCACGAATCTGGTTCAGTCTTTCAGTTCTCACTTATACTTCTGTTTAGGCAATTTACTTTTTGAAAAGTTTAAGCTCTGTCCCTTGGGCAACTACCGAGAGCCCCAGACAAACCTGATAAATGTAGCTCGTTTTTCTGGAAGTTTCACAATGGATACCTTTCTTCATTCACATAGCCCATTCCTGCCAAGGAGGAAATAATGTCTGTGTACTTCCAAAGCCTATAAAAATTCAACTAGAGTAGCAAAATTAATTCACTGGGTGCCATTATTTTTGGTTCGATACACCCAAAATGAAAGCATCTGTTCAAGTTTCATTGGCAGCTCCAGTGCAAAGTGGCACGTGGGAAACTGAGGCTGCAAAGGATCAGAAGCACAGGCTGACTTCAGGGCCCCCACCCCTGAGGAACGTCCATCAGCCTGCCCTCCCTCACTCTTTCAGTTGTCCTGGTGAGTGGCCACTCCTAGGGCAGCAGGGGTCAGGAAGGCAGGCGCAGGGCTGGAAGTGGCCATGGCTCTGCCTGCAGCCTCGTGTAATGGTGGGCAAGATACTCCTTGAGGGGGCAACTCCCATTTGTAATGTGGGGCTACTCACGGGAGAGCCCCTCGTGACTTTGCTTGGGGATTCAATGTGCTCAGGACAGGCTGCAGAGAAAGCACATGCCACATGCAGGCTTTACAGAAGGGCAGCAGGAGGCGACATCTCTGTAGAATCAAGGATAACATGGCTGCACTGCGGAGGAGGAGCAGTGGCAGTCAGAGGCAAGCCCAAGGCAACCTGCACTACCTGAGGCTGTTTGGGCACAGCAGAATGGAAGGTCAGGGCCCGCAGGGTACAGCACGGGAAGGAAGCAGGCGTTTCCTGGCCCCTTCTTACTGAGGTGCCACCTGTGGCCACAGCTGGATGTCCTCGGGCCTAGAGAGGTCAGACAAGCACTGCCACAGTGCCCCGTGCCTAGGGGAGAGGCCTCACCAGTGGCCTGGCCACCTACGCTGGGGCGAGATAGGAAAAACCACCCATACCTAAGCGTCTGCCACAAGCAGGGCTGCAAAAAGGTTCTCCTGGCAGGTGCCAAGGTGCAGCCCTCCCAAGCCCTATTCTGGGCCTAGGTCCCACCACACTGGGGAGCTTCCCATAGCTCTCAGGATCGTGTTGCAGCCTCTGCCTGGAATCGAACCTGCGGCCTCTGCTGCTTCACTGCACTCCTCTTTTGTCCTTGCCCACAGTGCTCTGAGAACAGTGCCTTCTTCTGCCCCTAGAACTCAGTTCCTCCCTGCCTCAGGCCCCTTGCACAGACCGATATACATTCCCAGAATGCTTGTCCACTGGCCGGGCACCGTGTCTTCATTCTGAAACCTCTACTGAAATGTCACTGCCACCCCCTTCCTGGATGCCCCCAACCTGCACGTGCCCCATCATGCACTCTCTGAGCTCTCCACACCCACCGCCAGAATCTGTGATGATGCATGTTCATGGACCTGGTTCCTGTAGGTCTGTGTCTCCCCTCTAGGCCATGAGCCCCGGGGCAGGGACTCAGCTTATCTTGTGCTGCTGCTGCCCTGCATGGCAGCCAAGCCCTTCTCTTCTCTAGAATGGAAGAGGCTGTTCCTCCACCCACCCCTGCACTTTTCTTTTTTTTGAGATGGAGTCTCACTCTGTCACCTAGGCTGGAGTGCAGTGGTGCGATCTCGGCTCCCTGCAACCTCTGCCGCCTGGGTTCAAGCGATTCTCCTATCTCTGCCTCGAGTAGCTGGGATCACAGTCGCTTGCCACTGTGCCCAGCTAATTTTTGTATTTTTAGTAGAGACAGGTTTCACTATCTTGGTCAAGCAGGTCTTGAACTCCTGACCTTGTGATCCACCCACCTCGGCCTCTCAAAGTGCAAGGATTACAGGTGTAAGCCACCCAGCCCACTTCCACACCTTCTATAGCGTCCCCAGACACACAACACAGTCCTGTAGAAAATCCATTAACGAAGAGAGGACACGCAAGATGGCAAAAGAGGAAGCACAAAGGCCTTCATTCCCCAACAGAAACATTAAAAACCACTAGAGACTGGCTGTAATACTGCACAGGAGCTCTGCAAAACAAGCAATGATCTATAGCAACCAAGAGAATGCTCAGAGCAGAAGCAGCCAGTCAGGATGTCAGGAACTCTGGGGTGTTTCATTCACCCCTGCCTGATGCCTCCGCAGCATGGTGCTGCTTGATGAAAGCAGGAGTCTGGTTCCCAATTCCTTCCATAGAACTGGAGGGGGCAGAGCAGACCTTTTTGCAATATCATGATCTATCTTGGGCTGCCTGAGGAACAGATCTCTGTTTCACCTGACTCTGAGCTCAGAGCTCAGACAGGAAGTCAGGGAAAATGGCTGCGGGCACTGCCAGGCAAAGCCGCAGGTTGACTATTGTCCCACGCATACCTGGGGCAAGAATGGCAGGTGGAGAAATACAGCAGAACATCTCAGGCCCAAGGAGAGACTTGGGGAGACTTTGGGAAAGTAAGACATATATATTTTTAAAGCTCTGTAAAAGTTTAATGGAGATATCAAGGCATATAAATCATGTTCCAGCAGCAAGTAAGTCCTGCTTTCTCTTACCCCAAAAAAGGGGCACACATTTTATGAAAATTTGACAATTCAGAGTTAAGGGTACTGAGATTAAGCTTCAGAGCACCAACTTAAACAAAACAACAATGAAAAAGTATTCAACTTGGAAAGAGGAACTAGAACCAAGGCATAAAGGGGAGATTAAATATGTGTTCCTTGCTCCCAAAGTCCTTTTAGGAACAGGAGTTCTGGCTACATGTGAGCAACACATCACACCACCAAACCCCAATTCCAGAATCTAAATTTACGACACAGAAAAACAAAGGTAACTCCAAATGCATTTCTTGGTATATTCCAAAAGGAAGCTTGAAAATATTCATAGGCAAAGTAAGATATTTTAAAATAGCCATGAATATGGGGAAATTGAAAAAAAAAAAACAAAAACACATACATAGGCCCAGGGAAGATGCATCCTCAGAAGAAACCTGAGGAGACTTCAGCCTTCATCCAGAGCTGATCCCCAGGCTGAGACAGATCCTGCTATTCAGTGGGGGCTGTTCCCAATACAGAGGTAGTCTGTAAAGACTGGGAGATGGAGCTGTTTTTCAAATGCCCAACATTCAGGAAAAAAAAACAACAACAACAAGAAAAAACAAGGCATACAAAGAAACAGGAAAACACAGCTCATGCAGAGGAAGAATATGAAGTGGCAGAACCCATCCCTGAAGAAACACAGGCACGGGATGTACTTGACCAAGACTTAAAAATGAGTACCTTAAACATGCTAAAAGAACTGAAGGAAAACAGATAAAGAGTTAAAAGAAATCAAGAAAACAACATATGACAACAAAATAAGAAATTATAAAAAGGAATCAAACAGAAATTGTGGAACTGAGAAACACAAAACTAAACTGAAAACTCTTACCAGAGGGATTTGAGTCCACAGAGGAATCAGCAAACTTGAACACAGGACATTTGAAAATATCAAGTCAGAGGAGCACAAAGAATGAGGAAAATGAGCAGAGCCTCAGGGACTTAGAGGCCTCCATCAAACGCACCACGTGCATTGCGGAAGTTTAAGAAGGAGAGGGAATGGGGTAGAGAAATTATGTGAAGAAAGAATAGCTATAAACTTCTCAAATTTGACTAAAGACGTGAATATTAACATCCAAGAAGCTCAGTAAACCTCACATAAGATAAACCCAAAGAGACCCAAACTAAGACACAATATAATCAAACTGTGTAAAGACAAAAGCAGAATCTTGACAGCAGCAAAAAATGACTCAGCTGGAGAAATAATCCTCAATAACACTGTTAGCCAATGTCTTAGCAGAAACATCAGAGACCAGAGGCAATGGGATGATACACCCAAACTGCTGTAAGGAAAAAAGTGTCAACAGAGAATTCTATATTCAGCTAAACTGTCCTTGAAAAATTAGGGAGAAATTAAGACATTTCCAGATTAATTAAAGATGTGGGTGTTCACTGCCACTAGATCTGCCTTACAAGACTGATAAAGGGAGTCTGCAAGTTAAAACAAAAGGGCGCTAGACAGCAGCTGAAGGCTGTAGGAAAATATAAACATCTCCAACAAAAGCAAATGGAGGGACAAATAAAAGAACTAGTATTACTGTACAATTGGTTTGCAACACTACTTAATATTTCCTTCAAGATTTAAAGGACATATGCATAAAAATAGTTATAGGTTTATGTTAACAGGTACATACCCAATATATCCAGATGTAATCTGTGACAATAACAAAGTGGGGGTAGATGGAATTGCAAAGGAGGGGTTAGAGTGTTTGACTGAAATTAAGTTGATATCAATTTAAAACAGATTGCTATAACTTTAGGATGTTGGGTATGTAATCCTTATGGCAGTAACCACAAAGAAAATATTTGTAGCATACACACACAAAAAAAATGAGAAGGAAATGAAAAAAATAGAACTTACAATCAATCAACTAAATACAAAACAAGGTAGTAATGAAGGACAAAACAGCTACAAAATATATACAAACAACAAAATAGCAAAAACAAGTCCTTCCCTATCAGTAATTACTTTAAATGTAAATGGATTAACTCCTCAATCAAGAGACACAGATTGACAGAACAGATTAAAAAACAGGACCTGGCTGGGTGCAGTGGTATGTGCCTGTAGCCCCAGCTACTCAGGAGGCTAAGGCAGAATCGCTTGAACCCAGGAGGTGGAGGTTGTAGTGAGCTAAGATTGTACCACTACACTCCAGCCTGGGCGACAGAGTGAGACTCCATCTGAAAACAAAAAACAAAAACAAAAAACCAAACAAACAAAAAAAAACAAAAACAAAAAACAGGACCTGACAACAGCTGACCCTCAAACAACATGGGTTCAAACTGCACAGATCTACTTACACCTAGATTTTCTTCCAGTCTTTCCTCTTTCATCTCCTCTCCCACTTACTCAACATGAAGACGGCGAAGATGAAGACCTTTATGATAATCCACTTCCACTTAATAAATAGAAAATACATCCTGTCTTCCTTATGATTTCTTATTTTAATAACATTTTTTGTTCACTAGGTTACCTTATAGTAATAATAAAGCATATGATTCATATAACATACAAACTATGTGTTAATCAACTGTTTATGTTATCAGTAAGGCTTCTTCAACAGTAGGCTACTAGTTTGGGAGGTGGAGGTGAGAGGATCTCTTGAGCCCAGGAGTTTGAGACCAGCCTGGGCAACACAGGGAGACCCTGTCACTACAGAAAAAGTCAACAAATTAGCTGGATGTGGTGATATGCGCCCGTAGTCCCAGGCTACTTTGGAGGCCAAGGTGGGAGGATCACTTGAGCCCTGGAGTTCGAGGCTGCAGTAACCCATGATTGCACCACTGTATTCTAGACTGAAGTTATACCTGGATTTTTGGCTGTGGCGAGGTGTGGGTGGGGTTGGTATCCCTAACCTATGTTGTTCAAGGATCAGCTGTATAGTTTATCTACAAGAAAGTCACTTTAGATCTAAGAACACACATGGGCTCAAAGTAAAAGATGGGAAAAGAGTCAATGCAGAGAATGACCAAAGGAGAGCAGGAGTTGCTATACCAATATCAGACAAAGTACAGGCCAACATCCCTTATAAATATCGGTGCAAAAATCCTCAACAAATACCAGCAAACGAAATTCAACAGAAAATAAAGATTATACACCATGACCAGGTGGGATTTATTCCTGGAATGCAAGGACATTTCAACAAAGAAAAATCAATCAATGTAATATATCACATTAACAGAATGAAGGAAAAAAATACCCAACATGATCACTTCAATTGATGCAGAAAAAGCATTTAATAACATCTATCGCCTTTTCATAACAAAACAATCAACAAACTACAAATAGAAGGAAACGACCTCAACATACTAATGGCTGTATGGGAAAAACCCACAGCAAATATCATACCCAATGGTAAAAGACTGAAAACTTTTCATGTAAGATCAGGAACAGGAAAGTATATCTGCTTTTATCACTTGTATTCAACATAATATTGAAAGTTCTAGCCATAACAATTAGGAAAGAAAAATAAATAAAGGGCATCCAAATTAGAAAGGGAGAAGTAAAATTCTTTCTGTTCACAGGATTACACATGTAGAAAACCCTAAAGATTACACACACACACACACACACACACACAATTAAAAAAAAGAAATTAAAACAATTCAATTCAACTTACAAGAGCATAAAAAAGAATAAAAAAATTCTTAGGAATTGTGTTAGAGAAGGCGGTGAAAGTCTTGCACATCGAATACTACAAACATCCATAAATGAACTTGAAGATGACACAAATACAAAGACATCTTGTGTTCATGGACTGGAAGACTTAATAATATTAAGATGTCAACACTACCCAAAGTGACATACAGATTCAATGCAACCTGTCAAAATTCTGACAACGTTTTGGGCAGAAATAGAAAAGAAATTACAAAACTCACATGGAATTCCAAGGCACCCTAAACTTTCAAAATGATTTGAAAAGAACAAAGTTGAGATATTGTAGATATCCAAAAAACACTCACATACATAAACTCACCTTACATAGACAATTACGGAAGTACGCACCAACAAGTTCAGGAAGACAAAAACAGGAGTCCAACTAGAACACAGTATTTTTTTGTTTTTGACAAGGAATCTCACTCTGTCACCCAGGCTGGAGTGCAATGGTGTGATCTTGGCTCACTGCAACCTCTGCCTCCCTGGGTGAAATGATTCTCCTGCCTCAATCTCCTCCTGAGTAGCTGGGATTACAGGCACCCACCACCACACCCAGCTAATTTTTGTATTTTTAGTAGAGATGGGGTTTCACCATGTTGGTCAGGCTGGTCTCAAACTCTTGACCTCGTGATCTGACTGCCTTGGCCTCCCAAAGTGCTGGGATTAGAGGCATGAGCCACCACACCCGGCTAGAACAGTGTTGAGAAAGCACAGAACCAGGAACAGCCTTGCTCTTGCACAGGGGTGGGAAGAAGTCTTGTAATCACACACTATCCCCTCTCCCCAAGGAATAGGTCACCTCCATGTCCCTGTGGCCCAGATCTAACCACCAATTTCATTCCACTAGGTTAAGGTGATTGTCCATGGCTGAGACGCTTGCAGGAGGGACAATGGCGTTTCTGTGGGAACCACTAACACCACAGCGTGAATGTGTTGGGCAGGTTCTCCCTCACAGACTCAGTCATCCCAGTCTGTTCTTTAAGGAGAGAGGGAGTAGGATGAGGCTGTAAGGAAGGTAGCAGGTGGGGACTAAGGAGAGGCAGGGGTAGGAAGTAGGGTGCGCACAGGTAAACAGAGGTGTGGCTCTGGCCAGGGCCACCCTCTAGCAGGTGGAGATAGGAGTCAGAGAGGAGAATCTAAGGGTGGAGCACTGTTGCTGGAGGTAGGAGCTGCCCCGTCCGCGGTTGGCTTTCTAGGAGGTGGGGATGGCAGGCCACCTCTCGGAAATACAGGCGCCATCTGATGTGGATTGATGGCTGCCTCATCTGTCGGCCAGTTTCTTCCAGGTTTTCAGTTCAAGTACACTAAAGGGCCATAAATGCAAATGCCTGCCACACACGCTGTATCCGAAAATAAAGCACATTAGAAACCTCCACTCCTTCTCCTGGTAGGTTTCAAGGGGTTTTTCTCCCCTTGGCAAAAACCGGTTCAAGAACCGCCCGCAAACACCACCTGCTGTTTCCTTCACACAGGAGGTGGTGGGAGGGGAGGCGCTTCCAGATCTCCTGACACAAAGGGCTGCCCACCTCCCTGGTCCTTCAACAGAAGCTTCAGGAGGCAGACACACACATTAGCCAGCCACTCTCTCCAGGGCAAGGGGAGCGGGACAAAAAGCAATTTCGAGATTTGTACCGTGGCCAGGTCCTTCAAGAATGACTACATTGTCACCACAATGGTAACAACGGGGAATCCGCCGCCCATGGCTCTTGCACAGCAGGCAGGAGAGAAGAGTCCTTGTAATCCACCTCTCCCAGGGAACTGTGCCCGGGGTTTCAAGATTCCCCGCCTGCGGGCTACAGCTGACTTCCCCGCATCCGGTGTGACGTGGAATGTGTGCCTTCGTGCAGGTAATGCTGGAATACAGATGACTGGAGGGACACCCAGAGCTGCCCAGGCACTTCCCGGTCGCTGGTTCCTTTGCACTTTGCACTTACAGCTGCACTTACAATAAAAACACCCTCCCTTCCACGGCCCCCTGGGCCCTCCCATCTCTCCTTCCTTTTCCATGCTCTCCTGGCTGCAGAATGTTTTCCACTGAAGGAGTCCAGTCTGGTGTCCAGCTCTCTCCACCTCAGGGCCTCTTCCTCCCTCAGTCCGGGGCATCCGCGGCTCACAGGTCAGCTCGGGCATAACTGTCCCGACCACCTATGAGCTCCTCCGGACACCACCCCAATGGCAGGGTGAATTGTCCTCACACCCTCAGTCCTGTCGGAGGGGCCTGATCTTACCTGTTTCCCAGAAACTGCTACGCGAGGCTTCCCCGCCAGGCTGATCCAGGAGCGGAGGAGCCTGCCCCAGACGCAGGCTGGGGGCGGGCCAGCAAACGCGGGCGGAATAAATGAACCCAGCAGGGCTGGGGCGCCCTGGGGATAGAGGTCCCAGCTATTTGACCCGCCCTGTGGCCCAAAACACTAGACGTGCTCCCCACCGGTCAGCGGAGCCCAGACGTCCAGGGAGCCCTAGTGGAGCCTGGACAGGAAGGCAGCAGGAGGTGGGACCCGGAGTGCGAGTGACCCCCAGGCCGTCCTCCGGCGCGCAGCGCGCCCGCGTGCGGAGGCCCGCCTGCAGTCGGTGACCGCCGGCCGCCCTCGCCAGCGCCCGGACCGCGCGCTCGGCCCCAGTCACGGAGGCGAGTGCCCTTTTCCGGGGAGCAGGCGGCGGCCGGTCTTCCTGCTCCCCCACCCCTGCCGGCGACACCGCGGCCTCCACCGGTGGGATACGACCCCAAGGCTCCCTCGGGCCTGGGCCCCGCCCACATACACGTGGCGTCACGGGCTGGGCGGGGCAGATGGGACTAGTTGCGCAGGCGCAGGCGGGAGACAGGCGGGGCGGGGCGGGGGAAGGGGGAGGGGCGGGGGAAGGGGGGAGGGGGAAGGGGGGAAGGGGGAAGAGGGAGGGGGGAAGGGGGAAGGGGCAGGGCGGGGCGGGGGAGGGGGGAAGGGGGCGGGCGGGGGAGGGGGGAAGGGGGCGGGCGGGCGGGGGAGGGGGGAAGGGGGCGGGCGCGGGGAGCGGAGAAGGGGCGCGGGGCGGAAGCTGCGCAGGCGCGGCGGCCGGCTTCCTTTTCGCCGGTGGCTTTGCGGATTTCTCCAGTCTGCGCGCTGAGCTGGCGTCGGCCCAGTGGCGGGTCTCGGTAGTCTGGTTCCCCCGGCGTCTCCGGCAGGCCCTCGCCAAATTCTAGGGGTTCCCTTGGCCAGTTTCCAAACGGCGCGGCGGAGCTGACCCTTGTCCCTGGCAGGGGGCAGCCTTACAGTCTGATCTGGCCTGTGCAATTTCCCCCATCCTTCCGTAGCTGCTTTATATTTTTTCATTTTTCGTTTTTTAAGGCAATGTGTGATGGAAATGCAGCCACAACAGAGCGGGCAGGTTCATGAAGCGCAATCCCCGCCCCCCATTTCTTGACCCCATTTTTTTTCTCTTTTTCTTTTTTAGACGGGGTCTTGCCCAAGGTGGAATGCAGTGGCACTATCTCGGCTCACTCCGCCTCCCGGGTTCAAGCAATTCTCTTTCCTCAGCTTTCTGAGTAGCTGGGACTAGAGGCGTGCGCCATCAAGCGCAGCGAATTTTTGTATTTTTAGTAGACACGAGGTTTCACCACGTTGGCCAGGCTGGTCTCGAACTCCTTACCTTAGGTGATCCGTCCACCTGGCCTCTCAAACTGCTGGGATTACAGGCATGAGCCACTGCACCCGGCATTTGACCCCATTGTCTGATGTCTTCCTAGAAATAGCCAAGGTTGCAACTCCTGACTGCCCTGGCACGAAGGCCCTAGTTTACTTAGGGACCACAGGGTGGGGGTTGCCCACGTGCATACCTATGCTAGACACCCTCATTCCCGCGAGAGCCGCAGCCCCTTCCTGGCCCACGTCGTCTGGTAGTGTGGGTGCACTCCAGCCAGGCCTGGCCCTAAAGGATGGACCCACCTGGGGCACTGGGGCATCTGGGAGAGCTGTTGGTAGAAGAAGCACATGTTCCTGAAGCACCAAGTGGGCAAGAGTTTATTTTCAGGATGGGACACTTTTGAGAGTGAACAAGTGCTAACTGCATGGGATTCAGGGACAATGCGTAGACCAGGCCTGGCAGCCGGGCGTGTGGTTCCTGTTGGAAGGTTGCACAAAAGCACCTGGTTGGACATTGCCCCTGAGATTTGGTTATTACAGAGGTTAGGCTATGCGGGCCCTCGCTGATGGACCTTGAAGTTTTTCCCAGTTGCTTGCTGTTAGGAATAATGCGACTGGATCCCAAGGACTGCCTTTGTGCATGCATGTAGTTGTATCTGTCAGAAATATTCTTAGAGGTGAAATTGGCTATGGTGGGGTATGTCCTTTAATATATTGGGTAAACATGGCTAAATTGCCCTCCTTAGACACTGTACTAATTGACACTCTGGCAAATAATGTTTAAGACTGGGTTTCCACACATTTTCACCAGTGGGGTCTTTCCAAACTTTTGGATCTTTGCCAATCCAATAATGACAAGACTATATCTCACGGTTTTAATTTACACTTTTCCTAGTATTTTGAGATCCCGTCGTGAAGCAGTTATGGCCCTGTTTCTGCCTGCTGCACTCACAAAATGTGTTATCACTTCCTCCCGTTTCACCATTTTTCACTCTTAGAGTTTTTAGAATTTGTGAAAGTAAAATCTTTTTGCTGGCTTGAGCTTTTGTGTGTGTTATATACTGCTTGGGAAGCTCTTGCACCAGATCTTGCCTTTGTAGATTCTTTCTCGATGTTTAATACTCAGACCATTTTATCTAGAGTGGCCTCCTTTAGTTATTCTCTATCACCTTTTATGTTATTTCCTTCACAGCACTCATCACTCTGTAACCATCCAACGGCTTCTTGACTGTCGCCCAGATACAGCCAAAGTTTCAAGATGGGAATTGCAATAGAGGAAGAGTTCAGTATACACAGAACTGGCTAAACAGGAGATCAGAGATTTGTTATTCCTCAGATCAGCCTCTCTTCAAATTTGGAGGCTAAGGGTTTTTTTTTTGGGGGGGGGTTGTTTTTGTGACAGAGTCTTGCTTTGTTGCCCAGGCTGTAGTGCAGTGGTTTGGTCTTGGCTCACTGCAGCCTCCACCTCCTGGGTTCAAGCGATTCTCGTGCCTCAGCCTTCCAAGTAGCTGGGATTACAAGCATACACCACCATGCTCAGCTAATTACTAGTATTTTTAGTACAGATGGGGTTTCACTGTGTTGGCCAGGCTAGTCTTGAACTCCTGTTCTCAAGTGATCTGCCCTTCTCAGCCTCCCAAATTGCTGGGATTGTGCAGTCTGGAGGCTACGGTTTTTAAAAGGTAGTTTAGCAGACACAGGGCTAGGGAATGGTGAGTGCTGATTAGTTGGATTAGGGATGAAATCATAGGGAGATGAAGCTTTTGTCTTTCTCTGGGTCAATTCCGGGGTTGGGGTCACAAGACCAGATGAGCCAGTTTACCAGTCTGGGTGGCTGGTCCATCACAATGCAGGGTCTGAAAAATACCTTGAACACCAATCTTATGTTTTATAATAGTAATATTGGAGTAATTGGGGCGGTTAGGAATCTTGTGGCATGACTCCTAAGCCATAATTTTTAATCTTGTGACTAATTTGTTAGTTTCACAAAGGTGGTCTGGTCCCTAAGCAAGAAGGAGATTTGTTTCAGGGAGGAGCTGTTATCTTTGGTTTAGAGTGAAATTATAAACTAAATTTCTCCCCAGATTTGTTTGGCCTATGCCCAGGAATGAACAAGGGCAGCTTGGAAGTTAGAAGCAAGATGGCGTCAGTTAGGTCAGGTTTCCTTTCACTGTCGTAATTTTCCTATGTCGTATTTTCTTATTGTCATAATTTTTGCAAAAACACAACACTCATTATTATTTATTTGTTGGCTTGTTTATTGATACATTCTTTGTTCCATTCCTGAAAGGAAGCTCCATGAGAACAAATAAATGGGTCTGTCTTGCTCACTGCTGCATGACCGGCAGTCTGCCTGGGGCATGGTAGGTGCCTGTAGCAGGCCCTGTTGGTGCTCATGTCTCTTGCCCGCCTCTGTTGTCAGCTCTCTGGTTGTGGTGGAGAGTTCCCTTGAATGCTGCCACCTCAAGCATCTTGTTGCTGTCCTCTAGGGATTATCTAACAATTTTCCTTTTTTTTTTTTTTTTTTTTTGAGACAGAGTTTCAGCTTTGTTGCCCAGGCTGGAGTGGTGCAGTGGCGTGATCTTGGTTCATTGCAACCTCTGCCTCCCGGGTTCAAGAGATTCTCCTGCCTCAGCCTCTCGAGTAGCTGGGACTACAGGCGGCTTCCACCATGCCCAGCTACTTTTTTTATTTTTAGTAGAGACAGGGTTCTACCATATTAGCCAGGCTGGTCTCAAACTCCTGACCTTGTGATCCGCTGCCTCGGCCTTCCAAAGTGCTGGGATTACAAGTGTGAGCCACCATGCCCAGCCTATCTTACAACTTTCTCTGGAAGCCTTGGGAGCAGGCACAGCCTGGAATTCAGGGAAATTTAACATCCCCATGGCACCTCCAGTTTGGGTGGCCTTGGACCGACCCAGTCACCTTTTTTCCATGTAGACCTCAGGAATAACTGTAGATCGTGCCAGGAATGCAACATCTTAAGATAAGGGAGAGCTGGTCGAACAGTCCAAGCTCAGTTCTAGTCTCCTGCTGAAAACAGGATGTCCTTCAACATGTTAGCCCAGCAAATCACATGACCCTGGGATGTCAAACCCAGGGCAGCCTGCTCTCTGGCGTCCCTCCTCTGTGGTGCAAGTGGGGCATACCCAGTTGAGACTCCATTTGCCCTGAGCAGATTTCTGAGCCTTGGGCGACCAGCATGCAACAAATGCCTCTCTTGTCCCTTGCTACCTGTCTGTAGGTAATAAATTTGCTTCATGTAACCTGTTGAGTATGAATGCTTTCTGTCTCACTGGACACAGACATGTTGGCAACCAGCACACAGTGAACCTGCTTCACAGCCACCCTTAACTAACTGTGGATATATGCCTCAGCCTTCTGTCACCAGAGGACCAATTCCAAGTCCTCAGTAGAAGTGAGCCTCGGTGACCCTTAGCAGTGATCAGCTCATATATGCCCCCTTTGGTTGGTGCTCCTGGTATTCCTCAGCTCGCTCTCTCATTTGCTGTCTCTCTTCTCTCCTGCTTCTGGGAATCACCTCCCAGGTCAAGTACCTGCATCTAAGTTCTTGACTCCAACTCTAATTAAGTCAATATTCAAAA